ATATTTTAACTAAACTAAGGTCCTATTACCTCCGAACTCATTTGTTTTGTAATTTTTTACATCTTTTGGCTTACGTGTCACACTCCGGACTCCAACTCCACGTAATTGAGACGCATGAGAGATGTTTGGATGCCACGTAGGCCAAAAACAGGAGCGGCCCCACATGGTACTTTCCGGGTGCTCGAGCACCCATTAATTTTGTATCGAACTATATATATTTATGTAGAAATTAAGAAGAATCGTATAAAGGTTGAAGGCGAGCACCCATGAAACAAATGATTTGGTTGGTCTGATGATTATTGGGTGCTCAAGGTCGTTTCTCGATTGTAAGCCACGGATCGATTCCCCTTAGGATGAGTACCCATGAAACAAATGTTGAACTCTTCTCTTTCTACTAATTTAGTTTGCTGATCGTTTATTTTATTTATTCTTCTCCCTAATGCTGGTTGTTGTTTTTTTCCTTTCACAAACTGTCTTTTGCTAAATTTTCCTAAGCAAAATTTTATAGAAAAAACGTTGTCATCTTCCTTTTTTTTTAATCCAAAATAATTTTTATTGATTTTTTTCGCTATCATATTTAAATATAATTGTCTCTCTTAGAGTTTTTGGCTAAAATCATTCCTCAACTATGACTCAAATCTAATGTACATCTTTATATTATCTATGTGAGCAAAAAACATCCTTATACTATCGAAAAATAACAAAAATCATCCTCCAGTCTATTTTTTTGTTGGTTAATAAACTAATTGAGCCAATAAATTTTTTTTAATTTGATCATGTCTTAGCCACAACGAGAAGATCAAAGTTACCTAAAAAACAAGGATAGATAGAAAATGAATCTTTCATTCTCTGAATTGAAATTTAGTGTGTTATTAGTTTATATGGTTTTTGCATCATCAAGTAAATTGACTTGCAACAATACATAAGTCTTGAAATATTTATACAATAGGTTCTGATGGTTAGAAAGATTATGTAAAAAAAATCATTTTAAAAATATTACGTCCAAACTATTTAGAGATTTTCTTTAATAAAATATTTAGTACGTATGTACGTTATATATAATGAAATCCACATTTTATACAATGTATGGAAATGCAGGAAATTTAGTGAAATTACGTAGGTGTTTAGTTATGAAAATAAAAAAATAATTACTTTATTTGAAATTTTTGAAGTTGGAGTTGTATTTGACCATACTTTTTACAAAGAATATTTAGAATTTGAATTTATTTTGTCTCAATATAATTTAAACCCTCAATTTCTAAAAATTAGAAAAATCGCCCAACTTGACTAGTTTAACAATGTGTACATATATTCATTCAACTTGACACATTTTTTCGTTGGTGGCGTGATTTTCTTAAAAAAATAGACAGAAGGATGAATCTTACAACTTTTCGGATAGTACAAGGATGTTTTTTGTTCACTTATATAACACAAGGATGTATTTTATGTTAGTCATATTTCAGGGATGATTTTAGCCAAAAACTCGTCTTTCTTATGACAAATGTTAAATTTATACACTTATATTTTATGATTGGTAGCTAAAGGAGCACCTAAAACATTAAAATTCTGAATTTGCCACTGTCCAAAAATGTGTTCAAAATTATATAGCAATATATGTGGTTACTAATATATATAGTAAAATATAATATGTGGTAAGAAGTAATATGTATTTTTCGAATACACATATAATGAAAATATAATTTTAGCTTAAATTTGAATAGTAACGTAAATTTATGGAATATGGGAATAACAGAGTATAAGTATATCTTGTATATGACCATATGTGTATACCTTGTGCTTTGGCCCTGCTAAAAATCTAAAATGTTGGAAGTATATCTTGCAAAGCATTTGAGCTAAATAAAATACAAGTGCTACTGGAGCTTTGAGTACAAGTGATACAAGAGTGAATGAATATAAGTTACAAGAATGAATGGATATACGTGATAAAGAGCAAATGAGTACAACTAATACAAGAGCGAGAGAGGTGAAAATACATAATACAACTTAAATGCACGTATTAATTCAATAAATACAATCATCTGACACCTCAAAAAATATAAAATTAAGAGAGAGATGTGGAAATATAGAATATACAGAGAGAGAGGGAGGGAGATAGAGGATACCATCTAAATTACGTATGAATACAACAAATACAATCGTCTGACACCAATGGCGTAGCCAGGAATTTTACGAAGGGTGTCCAAACATTGAGTAAGTAATTTTTCTTTTCTTACAAATGAGTGCACCAAAATTTTTAAAATCAAAATACATAATGCCTAGCTCTACTGAGTTTATATTTAATTTAATATGAAGTGAACGAACGACAAAAAAAGAGAGAGAGAAAGAAAGAAGAAAATTTACCCTAGAAAGAAACAATTTTTAGGCTTTAATACTTCAATAGTCTCTGGCGACGACGATAATAACAACGAGACACAAAGAAGGAAGAGCATAATCAAATGGGATTTTTTTTTAAAAAATAAAAAATAGTGGAACATTTTTGCTTTTAGATTTTGGTAGAGTTGTAATTTTTTTCTGTAAGTTCTACCTACAAAATTTAATGTCAAGTAAAAAAGAAAATCAAAAAGACACCCAGAAAATAATTTAATTTGCTATTGATACTTATATTAAAATTACAAAAAAATTAAATCTCTTGATCCCTTACTAATTGCGTAAAAGAGAACATTTTTTTATGATCTCTCTATGTAAAAATAAAGATATCATATAAAAAGATTATAAAAATATATGAAAATTGTTAATAAATAAATACTTAGCAAATTTCATGGAAAAGTTAAGTGAGAAAAAAATGAGAGAAGTAAAAAAAGCGCAGCTTCTAGAAATCGATCTTGCAACAACACGCACGGGCAACCAAACTTTGGTTAAGCGATTCCAACCACTAAGCTATACTATAATCTTGTTTTTAGAGTGTTCAAAATTTTATATATACTTCTATTACATAGCATTTTACCTAAATACACCTTATATTTTTCTGACGAATGGTGTCCAATCTATAGCTCCGCCCCTAACACATGAAAAGAAATATAGAAATACAGAGAGAATGACAGTCATATTTGAAATATTCTCCAGTTTTTTATGACTCGTCACTAAGTATTTAAAATTGTTTTTCATTAATCTGAGTTTTCTTATTTAGTGAAAATGACCATATTATAATCATTATAGAAACTATAGGGAGAAAAACAGCATATGAAAAAGAAAAGAAAATATCTAAAAATAATCATTGACTCTACTTTCATATATATATTAATACTAGTAAAGAAATTTCGGGCACTGCCCGGACTCAACATTAATAAAGTTATATTGTTACTCTCTCCATCCCATATTAGATGAGAATCTTACTAAAAGTATTTTTTTCATATTATTTGAGCACTTATTAAATTAGGATAGAATTAATTAATTCTTTTCCATTTTACCCCTACAATTAATATGACCATTCCTATATTGTATGTGTATTTTTTGTAACTCATTTCAATGTGCATTGATATAAACAAAGGGCGAAATGGTGAAGTCTTCCAATTTATTAATGATTTCTTAATCACCGTGTAAAGTTGGAAGTGCCCATCTAATATGGGACGGAGGGAATATAGTTTATGTATTGTTATAAAATTAGTAAAGATTGTTATAATATATTTTGCTCATAAGTGAGCTAATATAGAAACTTATTTGTCATTTGTCTTTTTAATTTCAATTTTAAATAGCAAATAAATGTAGCGATAAGATTGAGGGTAGAAATGAAGCATATCTTTCTAAATTTAAGTAAAAATAAACAGAGTAGAAGTAACATTAGGGTTATCGATAGGACTATTCATTCGGTTATTTTTAAAAAAATTATATCATTCAATTTTTCGTCTATTTTATAATGTATAACCAAAATTAAAATTTTAAAATCATCCCAATCCTAATTTATGTGACAGAAGCAGTACAAAAATTAGTCTTTTTTTTGTTGTCTTGTAGATATTTTAAGTTATTATTTATTGTAAATTATAGTACTTTTTATTAAAGTTTTTAATAACATATGTTACTTTTTATGTTTGAGAGTTAAACCAACTTTTTTTTATATGTCTTTTAATTTTATATGTGTTTTGTCCTTTTCCATTTTCAAAAACCAATACTCTCTCCATTTTATTTTATATGTCATTTCTTTTTATAAATATATTGGTTATTCCCTCTTCTTATTGGAACACATGTTGACTTGTGGTGAATACTTATTCCCTCTTCTATAGGACTATTCATTTGGTTATTTTTTTAAAAAATTATATCATTCAATTTTTCGGCTATTTTATAATGTATAACCAAAATTAAAATTTTAAAATCACCCCAATCCTAATTTATGTGACAGAAGCAGTTCAAAAATTAGTCTTTTTTTGTTGTCTTGTAGATATTTTAAGTTATTATTTATTGTAAATTATAGTACTTTTTATTAAAGTTTTTAATAACATATGTTACTTTTTATGTTTGAGAGTTAAACCAACTTTTTTTTATATGTCTTTTAATTCTATATGTGTTTTGTCCTTTTCCATTTTCAAAAACCAATACTCTCTCCATTTTATTTTATATGTCATTTCTTTTTATAAATATATTGGTTATTCCCTCTTCTTATTGGAACACATGTTGACTTGTGGTGAATACTCATTCCCTCTTCTTATATAGTAATACCTAGAGGATATTCAAGATTCATCATTTAATGCTCATTTAATGTACTAAACATTTTATATTGAATCTCCACTTACTGCTTGTGACGGGAAAACATTTTAGTGTACCATAAGGTCAATACCTATGTTATTCAACAATATATCTTATAATATAGTTGTATATAATATTATATTCATCATCCAAAACATACGTATTATATAATATATAACCATTGCTTATTTGTTGTTGACAAAGTTAAAAAGATACAAACTTTAAAGTCTTTTCAACAAGAAATTGAATCTATGAATTTCTCAAATAGCTATTGTAGAGAACCCTTTAGTTCTTTTCTTGAAATGCTCAATTCAGATTCATGTCTCAATCATATTTTTCTGTTATCTGTGGACTTCCTACTATTGTTCATCTTGTTAGTTGTCCTAGTTTGTAAGATTTCATTGAAAAAGTTATTATCTTATGGAATTCCTATGTTGTCAATTTCTTCAACCATTTTTAATGGATGTTTGAGCTTAGGATACATAGCATTTGGAGTATGGAAGCTTAAAGAGCAACACCAAGAATATGAATTTGTTGTGCTTCTTGTCCATGGCATTACATGGTTATTTGTAAGTTCATTCATTAGCCTATGCAAGCAACAAACTTTCCTTATAGTGAAGATTTATTCAATCATTGCATTCTTGTTAGCAATGTTTCTTTGCATAACATCTATGTGGAAATTTGACAATGTAATAGATAGTACTAAAGCGATATTAAATGCACTATCTTTTGTTGGAGCATTACTTTTGCTCTGCATTGGATTTATTAAGGAAAGTGAATATGATGAGACATTTTATAAGCCTTTACAAGAATTTGAAGATGGAATTATTACTCCATTTGCAAATGCTGGATTTCTTGGAAAATTGTCATTTTGGTGGTTGAATCCATTAATGAAGAAAGGTAAACGTAAGATTCTAGAGGACGAAGACGTTCCTCATCTAAGATCAGCAGATGGAGCAGGAACATGTTTTGACTTGTTCAATGAGAAAATGGATATGCTAAAAAGAAAAGACCCTTTAGGAAAACCTTCTATATTAATGGCAATACTCCTCTGCCACAAAAAATCCATCCTGATATCGGGGGTGTTTGCTCTAATTAAGATCTTAATGCTGACAACAGGACCGTTGTTTCTTCATACCTTCATCAAGGTTGCTGAGGGAAGAGAATCCTTTAAGTATGAGGGATTTGCTCTAACAGCTGGCTTTTTCCTTGCGAAATGCTTGGAATCTCTAGCGGAGAGGCAATGGCTCTTCAGAAGTAGACTGATTGGACTACAAGTAAAATCTTCATTGACTGCAGCTATCTTTCACAAACAACTTCATGTCTTAAATGCTGCCAAGAAAACTCATTCCCCTGGCCAGATAATGAACTATGTGACTGTAGATGCTCATAAAATAGGTGAATTCCCCTTTTGGTTTCATCAGATATGGACGACAATTCTTCAGCTTGTCCTAGTGTTATGTGTAATGTACTATTCTATAGGGGTAGCTGCATCAGCAGCATTAGTGATTGTAATATTAACTGTAGTAGTGAATTCCCCATTAGCCAAGTTGCAGCTTAAGTATCAGACTAACCTCATGATAGCACAAGATAAAAGGTTAAAGGCCATCACAGAAGCACTTGCACATATAAAGGTTCTCAAGTTATATTCTTGGGAAAAACATTTCATGGACGCGATAAGCAAGTTGAGATCAGAAGAAACCAAGTGGCTATCATCTGTTCAAACACAAAAAGGATACTACCTCCTCCTGTTCTGGTCATCTCCTATTCTGGTCTCATCTGCAACTTTTGTAGCTTGCTACTTGTTTGGAGTTCCTCTTCATGTCAGCAATGTTTTCACATTTCTAGCCTCCATAAAGCTTGTTCAAGCTCCCATTAGAAGACTCCCTGATGTTGTCGGGGCTTTTATTGAAGCAAAGGTTTCGCTGTCGAGGATTGTGAAATTTCTTGAGGAACCTGACATGCACACAAGGGATATGAAGAAGCAAAGGCAAGATGATGTGAACATTTGTGTAAACTGCACTGATGTTTCTTGGGAGATGAATTCTTTAAAGCCTACATTAAAGGACATAAATCTCACTATTAAACATGGTGAAAAAGTGGCTGTATGTGGTGAAGTTGGCTCAGGGAAATCTACCCTCTTGTCTCTGATTCTTGGAGAAGTTCCATACATCAATGGCACAGTAAGTCTTTATTGATATTGGTAGAGGATACTTACTGTATCGGCGTAATCAGAAGATGTTATTGTTTCTTCTTTTTGTTTTTGCAGGTTGATGTTTATGGAAAGATAGCTTATGTTTCTCAGACAGCATGGATTCAGACAGGGACCATCCAAGAAAACATTCTATTTGGATCTAATATGGAACCACAAAGGTATCGGCAAGCTCTAGAAAGGAGTTCACTGGTGAAAGACTTGGAGATGCTTCCATTTGGTGATCTTACTGAGATAGGAGAAAGAGGTAACAATTTGAGTGGAGGGCAAAAGCAAAGGGTTCAACTAGCTCGTGCCCTCTATCAGGATGCAGATATTTACCTCTTGGATGATCCATTTAGTGCTGTAGACGCACATACCTCGACTAATCTATTTAATGTACCTTTTATCAAGTTTTCTCCATTTGTCTTCCTTGAAAAGTATATTCAGTATTGAAAATTATTCTCAACATCCCGCGTTTTGATTTGGCAGGATTATGTTATGGGAGCTCTATCAGGAAAAACTGTGTTGCTGGTAACACACCAAGTTGAATTTCTTCCAGCATTTGATTCTATTTTGGTTAGTTACCTCCATGAAGAACTCCAATAATTCTATTTGTTTTCTGTTGTAATATTTGATTATTCTCTCATCTTTAGTACTTAATAATCTTTATCCATCTAGATCAGAAAGGCAGCATTCGTACAAAGTAAACAGACATTCAAATTTGGTCTCAACTGGTAAGTAAACACTCCAACTTTGAGTATGCACAGCTAGACACCTCAACTCGTCTCCATCCTGTCAGTTGAACACTCCAACTTACAAAAATGATCATCTAGACACCTCCAAAATTTACGTGTCACGTCAGCACCAGGTGTCACCCCACTTAGTGGAATTTCTCTGGGTACGTTGTTGTTGTCAACGTCAGGTTGAGGTGTCTAGACATGCACTCTCAATGTTGGAGTGCTTACTCGTCACCTGAGGCCAAACTTTGAGTCTTTGCTTATGAGAAAAGTATAGTTAGATGTTTGAAGGAGTATTATAATGTATCGGAATGTTAACCATATATCTTTCAATTTCACAGCTACTATCTAATGGGAAGATCATGAAATCTGGTGCGTTTGATAAGTTGCTATCAAAGAGTAAGGAATTTCAGGACCTTGTTAATGCACAAAAAACTCCTTCTGATCCTAAATGTCAAGAAGTTTATGCTTCTAATAAAAGTCCTAAAGCTGCTGAGATAGAGAGTGATAATAATGTTTCTTCCGAGGAACGTGATGATGTAGTTTCTTTAGAAGGAGATCAATTAATCAAAGCAGAAGAACGAGAAGTAGGAGATGCTGGATTGAAGCCATACAAACAATATCTAAAGCATTACAAAGGATTCTTGTATTTCTCCTTGGCAGCCATCGCACACACAATGTTTGTAGTTGGTCAGTATATACAGAGTTACAAGTTGGCTATTGACCTTCAAGATTCCAGTGTTAGCAGATTAAAGCTAATCAACGTCTATGCAGTCATTGGTTTTGGTTTAATAATCTTTCTGGTTTTAAGATCCTTCTTAACAGTAAAGATGGGGCTTGATGCATCAAAATCAGTTTACTCTACACTGTCAAGCTCTCTTTTCTTTGCACCAATGTCTTTTTTTGACTCAACGCCTTTAGGAAGAATGCTTAGTCGGGTAAGAATGGCTGACAAAATGTTACTGCAAATTTGTTTTACTTGGTTGATCATTGAAGATTATCCATTTGTTGTGGCAGGTGTCTTCGGATTTGAGCATTGTTGACATTGAGTTGGCTTTCTTAATAAACTTTACTGTTGGATCAATCATTATTCTATACTCTACCTATGTCATCCTGTGTATTTTCGCTCCAGAGGTCCTTCTGGTTATCGTGCTTATGATTCACGTAACTATACTAGTTCAGGTAATAGACATTTTTATAACTTTCAAGTTCTTATAACACCTTGTAGCTTTCAAATGTGTAATTTATCAACACATTTTGTCATGCAGAGATACTACAATGCTTCTGCTAAAGAGCTGATGAGATTAAATGGAACGACAAAGTCTTTAGTCGCCAATCATTTAGCTGAAAGCATTTCTGGGATAATGACTATTCGAGCTTTTGGACAGGAAGGTCGTTTCTTTTTGAAGAACTTGGAGTTTATTGATAAAAATGCTAGGCCAATTTTCCATACTTTTTCAGCAACTGAATGGTTAATTCTACGTTTGGAAATAATATGCACGATTATCATGTCGTCATGGATGCTTGGCATGACTTGGCTTCACAGAGGGAGTTCTATATCCGGTTTGTTCCATTTATGCTTTGATATATGATATTATCTAAGGCCTACTTGCGTGTATCAGAAAATCTCAGATTGAACCTTGTTGCTGAACAGGACTTACTGGAATGGCATTCTCCTATGGCTTATCACTAAATGCAATTCTTGTTTTGTGTGTTCAATGGCAATGCACGATAGCAAATTCTATAATCTCTATAGAAAGACTAGAACAATACATGAGAATACCTAGTGAAGAATCTGAAATACTGCAAATAAACAGCCCTTTACCTTGTTGGCCTACGCGTGGCAAAGTGGAAATTCGCGACTTAAAGGTATGTTTTTATCAGTAGCAAGAACCATCAATTTTTTCAAAACATTGCTAATCTCTTGGAAGTTTGTTTTAAAACAGGTGAGGTACAGGCCAAATGCTCCATTAGTTCTTCAAGGTATTAGTTGTACATTTGAAGGGGGACAAAAGATTGGAGTTGTAGGCAGAACAGGCAGTGGGAAAACAACTCTTATCAGTGCATTGTTTCGCTTAGTTGAGCCTACAGATGGAAAGATCATCATCGATGAATGTGATATTTCAACGATTAGGCTGCATGACCTTAGGTCGCGTATTGGAATTATTCCACAAGATCCTACACTCTTTACAGGTTCTGTAAGATACAATTTAGACCCCTTATCAAAATATAGTGATGACCAGATATGGGAAGTAAGTTTTATATACATATATACAAGTTGTCTCATTTCTAATGATTCTAAGTTACTAACAAAATTTTGTTGCTTTAAGGTTCTTGATAAGTGTCAGCTTAGAGAGGCTGTCCAAGAAAAAGAAGGGGGTCTAGATTCCTCTGGTAAACATAGGTCATTTTAAAAGTATTTATTAAGCGTGGCCAAAAGTTCAAGATCACCCTTTACGACTCCTGTTTCTGCAATACTTTCAGTTCTACAAGATGGATCAAACTGGAGCATGGGACAGAGACAATTGTTCTGTCTGGGACGCGCACTGTTGAAGAGAAGTCGAATTCTAGTGTTAGATGAAGCCACTGCATCCATTGACAATGCCACAGATGCAATTCTGCAGAAAACAATCAGGCTAGAATTTGCAGACTGCACAGTTATAACAGTTGCTCACAGAATTCCAACAGTAATGGACTACACTAAAGTTTTAGCAATAAGTGATGGTGAGTTACTTATATTATTCTAATAATAATGCTCTATTAATGTCTACATTAGGATAGATTGTCTATATCATGCCTTTCAGCGATTTTCCCCCGAACACTAATGTATACGAAATATTCTTGTTTTTAACTGTGTAAGGCTTATTAAAGAGGAAAAGTTTTCTGCACTGCAATATTTTCCATTCTTAAGTCAAAACTCAAGACCTCTGATTAAGAATGGAAGGATTTTATTCATCTTGTCACGACCCTTGATGATACAAAACAAGTATATGTTGAAGCTTACAATTTGCATCATTGTTGATTTTCCAGGGAATTTGGTTGAGTTTGATGAGCCAAAGAAGCTGATAAACAAAGAGGGTTCATTATTTGGAATGCTTGTTAAAGAGTATTGGGCACGTACACAAAAGTGAAAGCACTAAAGAATTTTGACATTATATTAGTTCTTATCAGTTTGGTTCAGCCTTTTGGTTTATTACTAGTTATTGATAAGGGTTTTTTTTTTTTTGGCAATAAACTGTGAACTATTACCATACCATCAATCCAATACACCTATGGAGCATCTATACTCTCAGACGCCTAACTTGGTTCCAAGAATGATAGACCTCTATTATACTATATTCCCTGAACATGTCTATCCTATCCTTAATTACATGCTTTACTTGTTGAATTACAAAAGTGCAGGTCATAGTGACGCCTCTAAAGATTTTATGATTGCTGCAATAACTTGTTTCCTGAATGTAGTCCAGTGCTTCTGGTTGATGCGTTTGAGCATGAGTTGAACCCCTCGAGTATGCAATCTGATTCCAGTCCATATTTGCATTGCATTCTAAACCTCCATGATCAATACAATACAATACAATACACTGCTTTGCATTCTCCACAATGAATCCTTTCTCTCCATTAACCACCATACAAGCTTTCCCGCTGATTCTATGTTCCATAGTTTACATCCTTTAATGTTTGAACCACCTTGCTTCTTTGGTCTACAAACATTTTCCCATGGCTAATTTCTGTACTCTCTCTACACTTTTTATCCACTTCCCTGATCACACTCTGTGGAAGTACAAAAAAGTTATGTAGAGAAAACAAAACTGAGTTAATAATGTGTAGGAAAGGTGTCTAGTTGAGACTGATCTGATCTTTCCTTCTACATAATTGTTGACATTCTATTTTAGTCCACTTCTGAAACCAAACCCAATTTCCAATACAAACACTGATCGATATATATATAATTGGAATACATATAATACACACAACAAAGCAACAACACACTAATTATAGATAGAAGAAGGTAACTAGCTAGAAGGGGATGAGATTCTAGAACAGAGAAAGCTGATGAGAGATAACTGAAAGCCAGAGCTTTGACATAATTTGCATAACCGTTCTTTCTAATCCCTAGACCTTCCTTTTTAACAATAGATAGCTAAATAAAACTGTCCAACATTTTACTCGGTCCAATAATAAGATAGGATGGTGATTCATATTTAGCTTCTTACACATAGAATATTCCATAATCAGTACAAATTGCAAAGAGGAAATTGACTTGCATTTTGTAGGAGATTACAGTAGCATTCAGGATTGATATATTCAAGCTTGAACCCAACATTTGTTAGCTTTATGATATCAAATTGAGTAATTGACCCCTCTCTACGTTTCCCAAGCAATCCCCTTTTCCTGCTTCGTCTTCCTCTTTCTAACACCTCATATTTGGAAAAGAAGGAAAATCAAAATTAATTTTAGGGTGCACGTTGTGTCTACGGGCCGTAGATGGCAACCGTAGGAAGGGGAAAATAATAATTTTCTAAAATCAAATCCAATACCCTTTTTACGATTCATCAGGACAGTCAATCATCCTATGTATGAGTCGTAGATAGGTTTCGTAGGTGAGTCCCAGACTTGGTAAAATTTTGAGGGTCAAAGTTGATTTCTACGGTTGGATTATACGGACTCATAGGAAGACCTATGAGTCGTACAAATGTTCCATCAACATCTTTGTTTCTGTTAAAGACTTCTACTTATGTGCTTCATCAGTCCTTTTTTAGACCAAAAAAAAAACAAACTAATAATCCGACTACTAAACATCATATTGTTAAGTCAATTGTTTCCTCTACACCATCCATCACTTGCTATTTACTACAATAAAATTCCATCAAAAGAGAGGTGAAATAATAGTCCCAGTCTACGATTGACCAGTATAGATCGTAGAAAGTTCTACGGTCTATAGGTTTAAGTTTGGCAATTATTTTAGTGGGCTTTTAGTAAAAAGCTAAAATATTGTTGTTTTGAAAAATTTCCACAATATATATTGTAGGCCATGTTGGCACCAATTCAAACATGACAGAGACATAAAAATAAATAGATAGAGTTTTAATTGGGATCGTGCTTCTCAAATCATGGATTACTTAGCATTAAAAATAAGCGCAATGAGTAGAAATTAAACTCACTAACTATTGTTGACCTCTTTTAAAAGTTGAAACAATTACTTTTAAGAAGAGGTGCGAAGTTGATATTATAAGCTGATTAAATTCGCTTATAAATTTTTTTAAAATTTAATTATATATGTGTTTTGTTAACAACAAAGTACTTATAAGTTATAAGTTAGGGAAAAGGGTTTGAAAAATACTCTAACTTTGGCCGAAATTGTTGTTACGATACCAAACTTTGGAAATGACCTTTTACCCCTTGTACTATTTAATGGTGTATTTCAAAGGTATATATGTTCATACGTGGACATCATAAATATTGCATCATTTTAAATAATAATGTGTCCACACACATATATATACCTTTAAAATACACTATTAAATAGTGCAGGGGATACAAGGTCCTCCATAAAGTTTGGTATCGTAACAGCAATTTCGGCCAAAGTTGGAGTATTTTTCAGACCCTTTTCCCTGTAAGTTATAATCAACTTATGACTTTTTCAACTTATAAGCACTTTAGTTCGATTAAATATTTATTATTTTATTTTTAATATTTTTTTTAATTCTCAATATATATTTTCTAAAACAAAACTCCTAGCTTCCTCTTCATTCCATATCGTTGTTCCTCTTTTTATTTGCACGAAAAATATTTGAATTTATAGCTTTTTACAATAAATTTAAGGATATACAAAACATATAAATTATTTATTAACAATTTCAACACTTCTATTTTAACATGTAACTGTTTATTTATATATAATAAATTAATTCCAATATCTAAAAATATTTTTCAACATTTCAATTTTATCAGTTATGTACTATTAGCTAAGTTGAATAGGCTCTTACTTTCAACTCAAAACATGTGAATAGCACATGCAATGCTAGTTTTTAACTCAAATTCACCAAGAAGACGGCATAATCCATTTTAACTAGCTAAGCATGTGCTCTTAATTACGTAAAAATCACATCAAAATATTGAATTTGGGGAGCCTTTCCTTCTAAAAGACGATATGAAGCATTAACTTTTTTTTTTACAAAAAAATAATGTTTTGTTTGAAAGAGTGAAGTGTTTGACTTCATTCTTACTTGAAGGGTAAAACTCAATTACAGTGGAGCATGTGGTTCAATTCGATACAACGCGTAAAATATTATCTGTCCTTGATATATAAACAAAAAAACTCTTATCATTAAAGGGATGGTACTTACTTTCATATAGATATTGCATGACGTCAAAAGAATATATATTGTTGAGCATGTGAGAAAAAAACTACCGTAAGATCTACTTCATAAATCTATTGACATTTGGATTCATTTTTTTATTAAATGTTCATTAATGTACTAAACATTTTAGACGCAAGCTCCATTACTGCTTGTAATGATATTATTTTCAATTTTGTAATGTACTAAACATTTTATACGCAAGGTTTAATATAATACTTTTAACAGTTCATCTATGTTATTCAACTCTTTATATATCTTATAATTTTATTCATATGGTCCAAACAAAAAACAATCAACTATGTAAATTTCATTGACCAAAACATATACTTTCTTTCTTTTCGATTTATTTGTTTGAATTTGATTTGACACGAAATTTAAGAAAAAAAAATTAATCATTCAAATTATGAATGTGTGACAGCATGTAAAGACAGAGAACAATACAATCTAATCCAAACATTGTATTCATTTAAACAATACAGTATAATACAATACAACACAATACATTATGAAACAATACGTAACAACCATCCAAACAAAGTGTAGAGTAATATTTTCTGCTTATCTACAAAACACCAGAAAAGCAAGTTAGGAAAACATGTTCCCTCATCCCAAACGCACCGGGAAATCTCATATTGAGGGTAAAACACTTCCTAACAAAGACAAGTATGGATACAAACTTAAATGCTTAATCATATATAAATTCTATTTTGTTCTTGACTGAGTTACACAAAGAGATACAAACTTTAAAGTCTTTTGAATCTATGAATTTCTCAAATACCTATTGTGGAGAACCCTTTAGTTCTTTTCTTGAAATGCTCAATTCAGATACATGTCTCAATCATATTTTTCTGTTATCTCTGGACTTCCTACTATTGTTCATCTTGTTAGTTGTCCTAGTTTGTAAGATTTCATTGAGTAAGTTACTACCTTATGGAATTCCTAAGTTGTCAATTTCTTCAACTATTTTTAATGGATGTTTGGGCTTAGGATACATAGCATTTGGAGTATGGAAGCTTAAAGAGCAACACCAAGAATTTGAAGTTCTTCTGCTTCTTGTTCATGGCATTACATGGTTATTTGTAAGTTTATTCATTAGTCTATGCAAGCAACAAACTTTCCTTATAGTGAAGATTTATTCAATCACTGCATTCTTGTTAGCAATGTTTCTTTGTATAACATCTATGTGGAAATTTAATTATAATCATGGCAATGTAATAGATACTACTAAAGTGATATTAAATGCACTATCTTTTCTTGGAGCAATACTTTTGCTCTGCATTGGATTTATTAAGGAAAGTGAATATGATGAGACATTTTATAATCCTTTACAAGAATTTGAAGATGGAATTACTTCATTTGCAAATGCTGGATTTCTTGGAAAATTGTCATTTTGGTGGTTGAATCCATTAATGAAGAAAGGTAAAAGTAAGATTCTTGAGGAGGGAGACGTTCCTCGTCTAAGATTAGTCGATGGAGCAGGAACATGTTTTGATATGTTCAATGAGAAAGTGCAGATGCTAAAAAGAAAAGACCCTTTAGGAAAACCATCTATATTAATGGCAATACTCCTCTGCCACCAAAAATCCATCCTGATATCGGGGGTGTTTGCTCTTATTAAGATCTTAATGCTGACAACAGGACCGTTGTTTCTTCATACGTTCATCGAGGTTGCTGACGGAAGAGAATCCTTTAAGTATGAGGGATATGCTCTATCAGCCGGATTTTTCCTTGCAAAATGCCTGGAATCTCTAGCAGAGAGGCAATGGCTCTTCAGAAGTAGACTGATTGGACTACAAGTAAAATCTTCACTGACTGCAGCTATCTTTCACAAACAACTTCATGTCTTAAATGCTGCCAAGAAAACTCATTCCCCTGGCCAGATAATGAACTATGTCACTGTAGATGCTCATAAAATAGATGAATTTCCCTTTTGGTTTCATCAGATATGGACGACAATTCTTCAGCTCGTCCTAGTGTTATGTGTAATGTACTATACTATAGGGATAGCTGCATCAGCAGCATTAGTGATTATAATATTAACTGTACTAGTTAATTCCCCATTAGCCAAGTTGCAGCTGAAGTATCAGACTAACCTCATGATAGCACAAGATAAAAGGCTAAAGGCCATCACAGAAGCACTTGCGCGTATGAAGGTTCTCAAGTTATATTCTTGGGAAAAACATTTCATGGACGCGATAAGCAAGTTGAGATCAGAAGAAACCAAGTGGCTATCATCTGTTCAAACACAAAGAGGATACTACCTCCTCCTGTTCTGGTCCTCTCCTATTCTGGTCTCATCTGCAACTTTTGTAGCTTGTTACTTGTTTGGAGTTCCTCTTCATGTCAGCAGTGTTTTCACATTTCTAGCCTCTATAAGACTTGTTCAATTGCCCATTAGAAATCTCCCTGATGTTGTCGGGGCTTTTATTGAAGCAAAGGTTTCGCTGTCGAGGATTGTGAAATTTCTTGAGGAACCTGACATGCACACAAGGGATATGAAGAAGCAAAGGCAAGATGATGTGAACATTTGTGTAAACTGCACTGATGTTTCTTGGGAGATGAATTCTTTAAAGCCTACATTAAAGGGCATAACTCTCGATATTAAACATGGTGAAAAAGTGGCTGTATGTGGTGAAGTTGGCTCAGGGAAATCTACCCTCTTGTCTCTGATTCTTGGAGAGTTCCATACATCAAAGGCACAGTAAGTTTTTATTGTATTGGTAGAGAATACATTGTATCGGCGTAATCAGAAGATGCTACAGTTTCTGCTTTTTGTTTTTGCAGGTTGATGTTTATGGAAAGATAGCTTATGTTTCTCAGACAGCATGGATTCAGACAGGGACCATACAAGAAAACATCCTATTTGGATCAAATATGGAACCACAAAGGTATCGGCAAGCTCTAGAAAGGAGTTCACGGGTGAAAGACTTGGAGATTCTTCCATTTGGTGATCTTACTGAGATAGGAGAAAGAGGTAACAATTTGAGTGGAGGGCAAAAGCAAAGGGTTCAACTTGCTCGTGCCCTCTATCAGGATGCAGATATTTACCTCTTGGATGATCCATTTAGTGCTGTAGACGCACATACCTCGACTAATCTATTTAATGTACTTTATATCAAGTCTTCTCCATTTGTCTTCTTTGAAAACCATATCCAGTATTGAAAATTATTCTCAACATCCCGCGTTTTGATTTGGCAGGATTATGTCGTGGGAGCTCTATCAGGAAAAACTGTTCTGCTGGTAACACACCAAGTTGAATTTCTTCCAGCATTTGATTCAATTTTGGTTAGTTACCTCCATGAAGAACTCTGATAATTCTATTTGTTTTCTATTGTAATATCCGTTTACTCTCTCATCTTAAGTACTTAGTAATCTTTATCCATCTAAATCAGAAAGGCAGCAATCGTACTTAGTAAACAGGCATTCAAATTTGGTCACAGCTGGCAAGTAAACACTTCAACTTTGAGTATGCACATCTAGACACCTCAACTCGTCTCCATTGTGTCAGTTGAACACTCCACCTTACAAAAATGATCATCTAGACACCTCCAAATGTATGTGTCACATCAGCGTCAGCTGTCAACGAGACACAGTGGGGACGAGTTGGAGTGTTTAGTTGTCAGTTGAGACCAAGTTGAGGTATCTAGATGTTCACTCTCAAAGTTGGACTGCTTACTTGTCAGCAGAGGCCAAACTTGAGTGTTTATATATGAGAAAAGTTTAGTCAGATGTTTGAAGGAGTATTATAATCTATCGCAATTTTAACCATATATCTTTCAATTTCACAGCTACTATCTAATGGGAAGATCATGAAATCTGGTACCTTTGATGAGTTGTTGTCAAAGAGTAAGGAATTTCAGGACCTTGTTAATGCACAAAAAACTCCTTCTGATCCTAAATGTCAAGAAGTTTATGCTTCTAATAAAAGTCCTAAAGCTGCTGAGATAGAGAGTGATAATAATGTTTCCTCCGAGGAACGTGATGAGGTAGATTCTTTAGAAGGAGACCAATTAATCAAAGCAGAAGAACGAGAAGTAGGAGATGCTGGATTGAAGCCATACATACAATATCTAAAGCATTACAAAGGATTCTTGTATTTCTCCTTGGCAGCCATTGCACACACAATGTTTGTAGTTGGTCAGTATATACAGAGTTACAAGTTGGCTATTGACCTTCAAGATTCCAGCATTAGCAGATTAAAGCTAATCAACGTCTACGCAGTCATTGGTTTTGGTTTAATAATCTTTCTGGGTATAAGATCCTTATTAACAGTAAAGATGGGGCTTGATGCATCAAAATCAGTTAACTCTACACTGTCAAACTCTCTTTTCTTTGCACCAATGTCTTTTTTTGACTCAACGCCTTTAGGAAGAATACTTAGTCGGGTAAGAATAGCTGAAAAATATGTTACTAAAAATTAGTTTTACTTGGTTGATCATTGAAGATTATCCATTTGTTGTGCGCAGATATCTTCAGATATGAGCATTGTTGACATCGAGTTGCCTTTCTTAATAAACTTTACTGTAGGATCAATCATTATTCTATACTCTACCTATGTCATCCTGTGCTTTTTCGCTCCAGAGGTCCTGCTGGTTATCGTGCTTATGATTTACGTAACTATACTAGTTCAGGTAATAGACATTTTGTTATAGCTTTCAAATGTTAGTAGTAGTTATTTCAAATGTGTAATTTATGAACACATTTTGTTATACAGAGATACTATAATGCTTCTGCTAAAGAGCTGATGAGATTAAATGGAACGACAAAGTCTTTAGTCGCCAATCATTTAGCTGAAAGCATTTCTGGGATAACGACGATTCGAGCTTCTGCACAGGAAGGACGTTTCTTTTTCAAGAACTTAAAGTTTATTGATAAAAATGCTAGGACAATTTTCCATACTTTCTCAGCAACTGAATGGTTAATTCTACGTTTGGAAATAATATGCACGATTATCATGTCGTCATGGATGCTTGGCATGACTTGGCTTCACAGAGGGAGTTCTATATCCGGTTTGTTCCATTTATGCTTTGATATATGACATTATCTAAGGCCTACTTGCACGTATCAGAAAATCTCAAATTGAACCTTGTTGCTGAACAGGACTTACTGGAATGGCATTCTCCTATGGCCTTTCACTAAATGCAGCTCTTGTTTTGTGTGTTCGATGGCAATGCACGATAGCAAATTCTATAGTCTCTATAGAGAGACTAGAACAATACATGAGAATACCTAGTGAAGAATCTGAACAAGTGCAAACAAACCACCCTCTACCTGGTTGGCCTACGCTTGGCAAAGTGGAAATTCACGACCTAAAGGTATGTTTTTATCAGTAGCAAGAACCGTCAATCTGTTCAAAACACTGCTAATCTCTTGTAAGTTTGTTTTAAAACAGGTGAGGTACAGGCCAAATGCTCCATTAGTTCTTCAAGGTATTAGTTGTACATTTGAAGGGGGACAAAAGATTGGAGTTGTAGGCAGAACAGGCAGTGGGAAAACAACTCTTATCAGTGCATTGTTTCGCCTAGTTGAGCCTACAGATGGCAAGATAATCATCGATGAATGTGATATTTCAACGATTAGGCTTCATGACCTTAGGTCGCATATTGGAATTATTCCACAAGATCCTACACTCTTTACAGGTTCTGTAAGATACAATTTAGACCCCTTATCAGAATATAGTGATGACCAGATATGGGAAGTAAGTTTTATATACATATATACAAGTTGTCTCATTTCTAATGATTCTAAGTTACTAACAGAATTTTGTTGTTTAAAGGTTCTTGATAAGTGTCAGCTTAGAGAGGCTGTCCAAGAAAAAGAAGGGGGACTAGATTCCTCAGGTAAACATAGGTGATTTTAAAAGTATTTATTCAGCGTGGCCAAAAGTTCAAGATCACCCTTTACGACTCCTGTTTCTGCAATACTTTCAGTTCTACAAGATGGATCAAATTGGAGCATGGGACAGAGACAATTGTTCTGTCTGGGACGCGCATTATTGAAGAGGAGTCGAATTCTAGTGTTAGATGAAGCTACTGCATCCATTGACAATGCTACAGATGCAATTTTGCAGAAAACAATCAGGCTAGAATTTGCAGACTGCACAGTTATAACAGTTGCTCACAGAATTCCAACAGTCATGGATTACACTAAAGTTTTAGCAATAAGTAATGGTGAGTTACTTATATTTATTCCAATAATAATGTTACACTTCCTTTGTCACAATTATGTCACACTCCAAAATAATAATTTGGGACACATGAAACATTCCCTCAGTCCAATTTTAGTTGTTCACCTAGTCTTCTAATAATGTCTGCATTAAGATAGATTATCTATATCATATGCCTTAGAGTGCAATCTTTCCTCGAACACTGGGTAAACACAGGATGTTTTGTAAACCAAATTGTTTTTTTTTTATTAAAGAGAAAAAGTGTTCCGTAATGGATTATTTTCGATTTTTAGGATCAAAACTCAAGACCTCTGATTAAGAATCAAAGGATCTTATCCATCTTGCCACGATTACTAAGCTTACAATTCTCATCATTGTTGATTTTTCAGGGAGGTTAGTTGAGTTTGATGAGCCAAAGAAGTTGATAAACAAAGAGGGTTCACTATTTGGAATGCTTGTTAAAGAATATTGGGCTCGTACACAAAAGTGAAAGTTTTGAAGAATTTTGGCATTCCATCTAGGTTAGCTTTTTATAATTCCGACTTATTTGAGATTGAGGCATAATTATTGTATTCAAATTGACTTTTGTTATCTAGTTAAAGTCAAAGCCAGCTCAAAAGATTAGATAACATAAATAAAACTCTTTGATGTTCTTAGAAAATGAGTTTCCTCATGTAAAACACAACCTGCAAAGAGGTAAAATTCAATTCTTTTAATAGCAAGTTGATTTACTTTCCTTATATTGCATTTAATTAAAGAGATTAATGTGTAGGGGTATTTATGGTTCAATTTGAACTTTAATTAACATTTAATTAATTTAATTAATTTTTAAATTTTTAAATTTTTAAATCAAACCAAATTAAATAAAATGAAAATCATTGATTTTGGTTCTTATCAGGTTGGTTCGAGTTGATTCGAATTTTTGGTTAATGACTTATTAATGATATAAATTGATATATAGTAAAACAACATATATATGAGACAATATTGGAGGATTTTACTACGATCCATTTGTTGCCCAATTCACTTTTACCCATTTAAAATATGGACGAATTAAATTATTACTCATTTTATATTGACCCATTTTCAATTCATCCAAATTTAATTCAACTCATTCATTTGCCATCACTAACTGTGATATAAAAATTGTTCTTGTTTCTTCCCTTTGATGAACCTGATATCTTGAATACTATAAGTAAGAATTTTCATGTATGAGTTCATTTTTCTTTTTTCTTGGGTTGAGTCTAATGATTAATGTATATTAATTGTTAGATTATTTCTAAACTCTAACCCACTTCATTCATCTTTAAGAATATATATTTAAACATCTCAATTTGTTCCATTATTTTTTGTCGAAAGTTAAGTTAACTAATTTTTAAAGGTAAATTAGATTACATTAATTTGATATTTTAAATAAAAAATTTAGATATTCAAAAATTATACGAAAAATACTATAAATTGCAAATTTTTGCATATCAATATAATGAAAAATTACATCGTAAAATGTTGACTCTAAAAAATGAAACTATGACAATTAAAAGTGAACGGAGGTAGTATAATATAGCAATCATACTTTATCAATTTACTATAAAAAGAAGATTCGAAATTATAGTATTTGTTTTTTGAAGAAAAATATTATTCCAGCAAAAGCAGTACGTGGCCAAGGAGGAAACCATAAACGTAAGTGGGGACCACGTAAGACATGTGGGAACCACAAACGTGCCACACGTCAACCACAGCTTGTACATTTGGTTAGGTGTCATGTGGATTTTTTTATTTTATTTTATTTTAATGAGAGTTGTGATAAGGTCACCTCAGTGACTTGAAGACAATATATTCTTTTTAACATTAAATTTATTTTATCGAGCACTAAATCATATTTATAGGTACTTTTTTAATATTTTGTATATGTATTTCGCATGGAGCGAAAACTTTATAAGATAAAATATCTTTTTTGAGTTATCAATTTTTAGGGTATTTTAAATTTTTATGAGTGCACATGTTTTAAAATATTATAAAGCTTTTGAATTTTTTTGATTAAAATAATTTGCATTCTGATCCTATTAAAATCACGTTCAAAATAATGACTCACCATGATCCAATATTTAATTTTTAGTCACCATGATTTAATTTTTATTTTTTTATTTTTTATAAAAAAAAATTCAGTCAAGTATTACTCCCTCCGTTTCAAAAAGAATGACCTCATTTCCTTTTTAGTTTGTTTAAAAAAGAATGACCTCTTTTTTTTTGTAACATTTTAATTTCAGTTTTCCACGTGGCATGTTTAAGACCACAAGATTAAAGAACAATTTTGTACATTTGACATAACTTTAATTTAGGACCACAGGATTCAAAAGTCTTCTTTATTTTTTTAAATTCCGTGCCAAGTTAAACTAGTTCATTCTTTGTGAAACGGAGAGAGTAATATTATTCCAACAAATACTTATGAGAAGTCAAATTTATTTTTCACCATTTTTGACAAAAAAAATTAATTATAATGAGGGCCACATAATATAAGTATCAAATACCGAGTGAAAATCAAAAAAAATATTCAGCCTTAACTTAATCCATTGTTCTCTCTTCCTTTGGATCATATTTCAAATAAATAAAAGAGAACAAAAAAATCCTTTTTTTATTGTTTGAATGACTTAAATATTTTGGAAAAAGAAGTAAATATTTTTCAAAACTCTCTTTCTACCTTACCACATGATATGATTCAAGACTTAAGATCCGACCCCAACTTGAGACATGACTCCCAATCCTAATTTGGGATCCGACCCCAACTCGAATCAGGGTCAAGAGTCGGATCATTGGTCAAAGTTAGGTCTTGAGTCGGGGTCGAGAGTTGGATGTCAAGTCGAGGTCAGATCCCGAGACTCGAATCTTAGGTTGGGGTCAAAAGTAGGGTCACGGGTTGAGTTTGGTGGTTTGGCTTCGATCGAGAATTGAGTTAGGGGAGAGATCAAGAGTCGAGGTCCGATCTTGGGTCTCGAGTTAGGATCGAAGTCAAGAATCAAGTCCTAGGTTGAGGTTGAGAGTCGGATCGATCAAGTCAAGTTTAGGGGTGAAGGTTAGGAGTCTAGTTTGGGAGTTTGGTTTTGGGTTGGGGTTGAAAGTCAAGTCTTGGGTCAGTGTCTTGATCAGTCGGGTCTCGATTCAAGATTGGATCTTGGGTTGAGATCAAGAGTCGAGGCTCAAGGTCGAGAGTTGGTTTCGGGAGAGGGTCGAGAGTCGGGTCCTGATTGGGGGCGATATTTAGGTTTCGGGTCAGGGTCGCGATCGACAGTCTAGTTCTGGGTCTTTGCCAAAGTCAGGAATCGAGGTCGTGACTTGAATCTCGACCTAACTTGGGAGTTGGGACCTGGCCCTCAAACCCAACTTGAGCATGAGACCCTCACTCGATCTTAACTTGGGATCAAACATTAACCCAAGACTCAATTTCTGACCTAGGATTTGACTTGAGATCCAATTCCGACCCTAGATCCAATCTTGACCCGACTTCTTACTTAATCTTCTACTTTAGACCCTGACCCTAACTCTCAACCCTTGCCCCTACCCCAGATCTTACTCTCGACCTAGACCCCAATTTTTTATTATTGTATTTTTAGATCTGGTGTTACAGTAATTTTTTCGATTTATATCTAAATGCTCTTGGGATAACATCGTCTTCTTACTTACCAAACACACGAGAAGGCAAGTAAGAAAATCACTTATTTTTCAAGAAAACATTTTCCTTCCTACCAAACCCACCCCGAGTAATATCTTATTTTCTTAATAATATTTTTAAGGTATTTATATTTTGAGTTTTGACACTTTTATTTCGTAAAACTTTATTTTATTTTTAGTTTAGTTAAAATGAAAAAGCAGAAGAAAGAGGAAAAAGAAACCTATAATGTTTTGGACATGTATAGATGAGAGGTACATATTCTAGATCTTTCCACATGTGACTCTATCACATCAACTCTCTACCACTTTCATCTCTTTGCATCATCAATTTACGTACTCTAAAAATAGTATCTCATTTTATCCTTAATAATAATAATTATTATTATTTTGTCAAAAACCTCATTGACTACTCAATTTTCCCCTTTTTTTCTACCCAAAATTCTAGGGCTTGTGTCTATTACCAATCACTAATCACTCCTCACTTCTCTCCTCTCTCATTCCTCCTACGTGCAGGTAAGTTTCTTGAATTGGGTATTTCTTATTTTCTTCAAATTATCATGATTTCAGCTTTTTCACGAAATGGGTATTGGATTTTCTTCAAAAAAGATACAATCTTTATGTGTTTCTGTTGAAATCCATGTTTTATCTTTGTTGTTGTTGTTCTTGAAAATAGGGCAACTCTTATTTCTTGAAAAGTTACAATCTTTATGTGTTTTTGATATGATGTTGTTTCTGTATTCCCTCTTTGATTAAATGGGTATTTCTGAATTCTTGAAAAAGGCGATATCTTTATGTATTTGATTATGGGATTGGTGTCAGAAGTTGTGGGTTTGGGTTTGGGTTTTTCTAATCCACTTGTGCTCATGCTCTGTTGGGGATATTGGGTGTTTCAATCTTGAATTACTATAGTTGGAATAAAGAATAATTATAATATCTCTTTGATAGATATTGTGCATGAAGAAGCTCTATATGAAAGCTTCTACGAGGGCACAAATTTTCGTTTGATTAGTTTCTTTTATTATTGAGTGTAGACAATTCTTGAATTTTGAGATGAGGTTGAGAGGATGTGTGATTTGTTGTGACAAGTTGAGACATGTGATTGGGGTTACTAATTCTTTACTAGTTGCAAGCAGTGTTGTCAAAAGCAAAAAGCATAGAAAGTGGCAAAAGCTCGTTGGGGTTTAATTGCAATTAAAGAGTGTTTAATAAAGATATGGGCAATGAATTTTTTTTTTCCATAAACGCACAAGCACGAACATGTAATGCAAGAAAAAGTAACTAAATAAGTGAAATATGTCAAATAAAGCATGTAAAGTAAGTTCAAAACTATTACTTTGACAATTTATGTTACTTTGACAATTTATGTTACTTTGCCAAGATATAGATTGTCTAGTACCACTATTTTCTAGGTAGGGTTTGCTGATGATGAGGCACACCTTAGTGAATCGAACCTGCACTAAAAAGTGCTGCTCAAGTGAGATGAGTGCCCAGTTTGATATTCACGTACCTTCAAGGTCTAAACGCTCCTCAAATGAACCTCTTAACAATATTGTCTTTGGAGCTGAGGTGGGGTTTGCCGGGAGGACCGGCAATTTTATTTTTTATTTTCCCTTGGGTGAATTTTCCAGGATTAAGGTATCTGAGAGAGTCATTGAAATGAGATGAAAACTATGGAGACGTTTCAAGTCTCAACAGAGACAAGAGACCAAACATGCCAGGTGACTTTTTCTTATTTACCTAAGTCTTGGTGGTGGGTAGGTTTTACTTAGTAGCTACATTGGTGGAAGGTAGTAAGTACTCGTGTAATAGTCGATGTGTGAGCAA